TTCGTAATGTTACTGCACAGCTTCTCCATTCCGCACATTTCATAACAGAATTTTGATATCGCGTACTGGGTAATAGATAAAACCAAAAATATATAAATATCTCATTCAATAAATTGGTGTAAATAATGGATACATAATTTAGATCGGGGATCTGCTGAACCTAGCCCCTGATGAGTATATTTCACTCGGTCGTTGAACAAAAATAGAGTTTGCCTACTTCGGAATTATGCGTGGAACTTCGTCGTGGAAAAGCAAGTAATTTTTGTTTGGTGGTCGCTCATAGAAGACAACATCGTATCTTTGCAGGTACTCCCGACGAATACTGGCCCTTTCTCCGAAATGCACGGCAACTTTGATATAGATTTCGTCTGGATCCCAATGCACTTCAGGCAGACCATTGAGAAAACGTAAGTCGATCAAAATAGCAGGAAATTCCATCGTGATATTTTTGTATGATAAGATTGTTGGGTTGCTTCGGTTCAAGATGCGATTCCTTTGGTTTAAGTTGACAGCCTCAAACAACTGTCATAAACATCAGTAAAAGTAGATGCTTAAGAATTACATTTTTACAGAATTTTGTCTGAATGTAGACATCCACTGTTATTATGAATCCCACAACAAGGAGGATATATGCAATAGTTGCTCGATGCATAGATCTCATAACGAATAACATGATGCTACATGCATTAATGAATTGGGAAGCTGGAATTGAAGAAGTAAGAAGTGAATGCTGGATAGCTTAAGGAACAATATGCCCATTAAAAGTTGAAAGAATCAAATGTTTGCATCGTTATAGCGATGAGTGCTGTAAAGCTATGAAAGATTTGCATCAGATTATTTACTCAATTCCTTGTGTGCACAGCTCACCCTCCAATTCTAGATTCCCTCACGATAGCAGGATGATGTCGAAATGATATCAATCCGATGTTGTCTGCGTACTCCAAACATTTGCGTTTATATTAGGTTTACCTATGCTTGAATCTACGTTGCCTGTAAGCGAACAATCGTATAACAGCAACTTCGCCTGTGGCGAAAAAAGTGGACGCCTAGGACCACAAAACGAGGGACGGCCCGCCGCCCTTCACGATCGGCTCGCAGCGCCGCGGGCCGCTTCGCAATGCTCGTCGGTATTAAAGCGACCTGGCATTGCAAGCATACAAAAAAGGATGAGATCATGACTTCGTTTACAACTACTTTGTATCACTTTGGAACCAGCT